TGATGCCATTATGTTTCTGCTGTAGACATAGATTGTATGGCATTGCAGTCTAGAAGTGTTCTCACTGAATAGGATTACTCAATTGTTCCTTCTGAAGCTTTTGGGCATTATCTTGGATATTGCTTACTGCTCAAGGCACATCACAACTGACTTCATTACATCATGGTTGCATCCTCACCCAGCTGATGTTTCTGACAAGATGATGATGGGTTGCTTTTTCACCAGCAAAAACAGAGCTGGTGATGCTAAAACCCAGCCTGGTTAACAGTTCCTGGAGAGAGTTGGGAGATGACTAGAAGAAGGAAAACTTGCTCTTCAGCCCCTTGTCTGCCCAGGATGCACGGTGCCTCAGAGACTCTAAAGAACATAAATTTTGTTTTATTGAAACATGATGCTCTTGATGTTGCCTGAAGACAAACTTCATGCTATGAATGGCAATCACACAAAAGGCATGAAAATACTTTGGTCAAATATATTAAATGAATACATAATGCAAACTGCTTAAATGCCAAGTCACTTTATTCGGGGCCGGAGATGAAGCGTGCTTTGATCCATCCATTATAGTATATTGCTGCAACAGCAATTACTGCCAGAAAACTGTAATAAACTCTTAAAAGCTGCTTGGAATAACAGTTCTCTCTTAATAGGCAACTAGAAATACAGCCAGCTGTAGCTCTTACCTGCAGTCATAACCAGCTTTGTTTTCAGCTACTCTTTTGTATGAGGAAAGCTGCTGGTGAGACACCCGAGGTCTCTGAACAAAGCAGATAGACAATGAAGTAGGGATTAACAAAGAATAGACAGCTGTTTCTACTAATGGAGACATTACCTAATCCACACTGACACTCTTGTGAAGCAGATAAAATGCTTTCGTTTTCTTCGGCCCTAAACTCAGCCAGACACGTTGCACTCATGTAAGATGTTCTGTAACATTTTTTTCAGATGCTTCCCATCAGTGGCTTCCCCAGGTGGGGCTGCAGGATGCATAGTCCGTTTTGTTGAGCTTCTGGGGCTGTGGACACTTGTCTTCCTTTTCTGTTGTTTTTGGGGTTTTTTTTTGTTTCTTTTCCCCTCCTTCATGTCTTCCCAGTGATCACTCTTACCAATTGCTTGGAAATGTCTAGACCCCCAAGAAGTGGAACCATTGTTTTCCTTTTCTCTGCAAAACAAAATTCATGGATGTAAGAGTTGATGTTATACACAGCTTTTTATTTATTTCCTTTTTTTCTGTAGCTTTTTTTCCCCTCAAAGGCCAATCAAGGTAGGAAGCTGTTAGTTTCACGGGTTGATCTTAATGTGGAAAGTCTTTCCACTAATCCTGTCAAAGGGAAATATTAAATCCTTCACTAATGTAGGAAGAATATAGCTTTGTCCCACACTTCTAATGTTTCAAGCCATCATAGTTGTCGCAGAAGAGGATTTTAATAACCACTTGATTAAAAAATTTGAAGTTTTGATCTATGTAGCTAGTGCAAGTCTAGACATGCCTAGTAACCCTTTTAATGATGCTTACTACATGTAGATGTAGCAGAGTTTTTCTCCATCTGCTAATGATTTCACATTTTATTACATTGGCTTTTTTGGTGTCTAAATTACATTTCCTTGATTGTGATTTCTGCTTGAATTGATTTTGACTGTTCGTATTCTGTGTGCTCTCTAGTTAGGGTCTCACTGTTGCCTTTCCAGAAAGAGCTGGGACCAGTTTAGGGGCAGCCTGAGGCTGATATTTCTGTGCTCAAGTTCAGAAGTAAGCAAGCTGAATATATTCTGAATTTACCAATAATTATGTTTCTATTGAATATAGAATAATTCTATCTGGAAGAGAGCTACAAAAATCATCTAGTCCATTTATCCTAGATTTCAAGGGAAACTGCCCCTTTGTGGACATATTATAAGGGTTAGTATTGTATTGAACTGAAAGTACAGCGCCCAAAACATGGATAAATAATAAATTTTCTGTGATGCCTCTTACTGTAACTTCTTCAACTGGAATGTTATTCCATTTGTGGAACAAGGAAATCAGTGCAGGGAAATCAACTACTGCAATGTAGCGTCAAGAGGAGAGCAGTCAGTTCCGTTATCCAAGTTGAGTGAAAGGCAAAAGTGTATTGAGAGGGAGAAGACAAAAGTTCCCTAGTTCATTGACAGCTGCAAAAAGAGATGGTAAACATTTTTTTTCCCAAGGTCTAATTGTTATAGTGTTCATAGTATTTGGAGCTATTTTTATAGAAAATTATGCTTTTTATTAACTACACAAGATACTTCAAGCTTTTATTACTACACGTGTAAAACAAGGTCATGTTTAAAAAGTGAGTGCAATATCTGCACTGAATTTTCATTAACACTACTACAGCTAGAATTTGCTGTCTGCTAGACTGGGCAAGCTTAATACCCACGTTTTGCATTTATTTTACATTTCAGTGACAGAAATGCTGGTAAACGTACTGAACATCTGCTCAGATGATGAATTGGGGACAGAGGAAGATGGTTTTGATGGTAAGAGCCTCTTGCCCTCGGTTGAGATTGTTTGCCTTGAAACTACTTTGTAAATTTATTTACTAACCCTGTGATAATTTTCTGAGTCTCCTTTAACTTTATGCAGCTGAAAGCAATTCTTGTGCTAGACTCCAGTGGATTTGTTCACTGCATGCTTTGGAAAGAATTCACGGATCTTCTGTCCTGTTCTAACCCTTTTCTTGGTCTCACTCTTTTGGTTAAAAAAAAAAAAAAAATTTCTTTCCATGTTATCTGGGTTGTATTGTCACAGAGGGGTCAGATGTTGATTTCATCCATAAGATCCCAGGGATTCCCATTAAAAAATTAATTATCTCAATGAAATGATCTTCATACAATTAAATAAGCTCCCTGCAGAGCTCCTTCCAAAACATCAGTACCACAACTTTGGAAGGCTTGTACTCGAGCTATTTCATTAGTCATTTCTTTTAATGTACTTGTGTATCTAAAAGGCTATGGAGGGCAATAGAATCAATAAAAATAAATGTGCAAAACACAGATAGAGAATGTTCCAACTTGACATTTGTGCTAAGAAGAGAGGAACGGTCACTTCTGTTGTCATTTGGGTTAGAATTTATATGATGATAAGTTGCCTTGTACTTGTTGGTTTGACTGTGAATGATACTTTATATCTTGCAATTTGGCAATTCTTAGAAGTCAATTTCTTTTATTAGACATTATTTTCTCTTAGGCTGTGCAAGAATAAATTGGAGCTCTCCAGAATACCCTTTCTCAGTTGCACAAAACTGGAAAAAATCCCATGTATCCCTAACATTCTTACTATGAATGCTTTCAGTGTTTTATTTAAAAAAAAAAATCTAGGAAAAGAACAGAAATAACAATAATAATAATAAAAAAAAAACCTTAAAGAACCTGGAAAAATCTAGCATTACCAAATATTCTCAAGATGTTTATAGGCAGAAGGAATGAACAGGGAGAATTAATAGCTTTCCAGTAAGACAAATATTTAATGAAGCTGTAATTAATAATTAAACTTCTATCTAAGTCTTTATTTTTAATCTTCAGAAGCAGAAGGCTAGATCGCGGGTTTTGACAAATGTTTCCTTTGTGATGGAGAAGGATATAGATGATAGTGCATTGATTTTACTCTGCAAAGCTAGATGGAATTCCCTGTTCTGCATCTGCCATGGAGTGTGGACATGAACAATTATCTTAGAGGACTTGGGACAAAGACTGAATTTATTGAAACCAGTAATCAGTGGAGAGAAGAAAACACCTGTTTGAATATTGTGCCCAGGTTTTTTTTTCTCATGAAATTCAAATAAGTAGCTACTGTGTAATTAAAGCAACGTGTGAAACAGTTTGGAGGAATACAATGAGTAAAAACTGTGTTAAATGAAATACAGTAGCAACAAAACCCTGTGCTTAAAATCCTTGGCTCAAGAAAGCACTTAAGCGCAGGCTGAAATCCCCCTGAATGCAATGCCAAAGCAAAGGCTTTATGGGAAGGATTTTGTAATGAATTCAGCTTAAGCCTAATACTTTCTTTTAGAATTGTACTATAAACTTCCACTGAGCACAGACAGGCAATGCCTGTAGTCCTTTTTTAAAATTTTAGTGCGTCAGCATTCCCATACCTAAGCTACAGTTCAGGAGCACGTTTTCAAAAGCAGAGTCAGAAATAGTGAGGCACTAGTGATTTTGGGGGACAGCAGCCTTCTCTCTCTGCATCTACTGTGGTTGTTCTGTGAGGAGGATGAGCCCCCCCACCCCCTCTCCCCAGGAGTTTTACTATGGCACTCCTCCAGACATAGAGTTTGCAGCATTGCGGGTGTCTGAGCAGGAAGATGGGCTGAAGTCCTCTGGGCTTGCATGTGTGTGTACTGCATAAAGATGTCTAACAGCATTAAAGTTTCCAGATGAGTAATAATTAAACCGTTTCTAGTACTGTAGTGCTAATACCGTTGTCTAAATCTGTTTTCAGTTTTATATCAATGATTTCTCTCTGTGTAAACATTATGTTAAGGAAGATGTTAGAAATATTGTTGTCTTTAGCATGTGTAGCTAAAACCAGAGCTGGCTTATGTTCATGTCTGCTTTCCTGGATAACCTCCTCACTGCTGGAAAATGGGATCTGTGGTGCTGGTGCTGCAGCTTGCTGTGGGCTCACACTTGTACCTCCAGCCCACTGGGAGTTCTGGGCTCATGAGGGTTGTACGCATGGAAGAGATGGATGGATGGATTCAGGCATAAAAGTAAACTTGAGGATTGATTTAAATTTAAATAGAGGCTGATATCCGTAATGGTTTCCTGGTGGGTTCTGATTTATTAGTTGTACAACACAGGAAAATTCTTTCTTTCGGACATAGTTGAGTTAGCTGAGTTCTACCTCTTTTTTTTTTTTTTCCATGGAGCCTTACCTTTTGGGGGATAAGCTACAAGATATATTTCGTATCTTCTTGATGAAACGGACTGGAATGATTATCAGCGTAAAACCGTTTGTGTAAGGGTTGCATATTGACAGCCCTGTAGTAATTCGACATTTGCACTATTTCTTCAGTCATTTCTGGCCGGCTTCCTTAGAGGACTGCAGCAGTACAGTCCTGTTTGCCCCCTGACATTTTTCTTTAGCAGTATTTCCCATAGAAGGAAATGCCTGATATCTGCAACAGCAGATGCATTTTGTATAATAGAATGATTCTTTAAAACCATTGCTAATTTTTACATCATCAGTAGTTTTCAGGGCTCACTGCCGATTTCCTTTCTCTCCTTGCAGTTTGAACATGCCCTGACCTGGGTTCCCACATGTAATGAGAATGATCCATCACTATGGTTTGCACTGATCATTCATTTCATTCCTTATCTTCTCTTACACTTTCTTGCCCTCTGTCTTCCCCTCTCACTTCCCCCTTTAAAACAAAGCCCCGTCAGTACTGCCTGACCTCACTGCATGGTGTTCTTGTGAGACCCTTTTTTTAATTAGTATTATTTTTGTTTCTGAGTCATGCACATTGCATCTAGCCATGAGCAGGATGCTCAAGAGCATGTATTCCCTTTTTTCTTTTCTTTTTTTTTTCTTTCCCCCCCCCCCCTTAAAGGAAACACTTCATGGTTCAATTTGTTGTAGCCAGTTTCTGTGTACACTTTGTGGGGAAAAAGCCCACAAAAGCAATTGTAATGTCCTTCATCTCATACGTCCTTGCTGGCCTGTACAGGTCTTTTGGTTTCACTTGCTTTAAACATTAGTATGGTAGGTTAAGTTTTCTTCTCTCTAATGGTTTCCTCTTGCTGTACTACTTCTTTACTGTTTCCTATGGTTGTTGCAATATAATCTGATTCAGCAAAAAATGTCTTGGGTGAATGTTAAATGTTAGCTTGTGTTCTGTATGGTTTGTGCATCAAACATACTGCTTAGCAATAGGGGCTGCAAATACTTCTACCTAGCCAGCATATAATCAGAGTCCTGTTTTATTTTAATTAGCAGCATTGCTGGCCTCATGTATTTGATTGGGAAAACTAAGCAGCTAATTGAAAGGATGCAATAGTGTAGTAGACAACTTGACACAAATGCCCTGCTTGCTTTATAAACATTGCTATCATGATTGGCATAAAGACATTCTTAAATTACCTACATTCATTTTTGTGTTCCTTTCAACATTGTAGCTCACAGCCTCCTCATGGAAAAGCCACTGTCACAGTGCTAGCTGCAGCATTTATTCCTCGACTTGAATACAGCTTCCCCAGTACAGTGCTGTAGTGTGAGCTTAAAGAGAGTTGCCAAGTCAAACATCTCCTGATGATCTAAACCTGGTTCTGCTGTGAACAATAGCATACAAAATTTGCCACAGCTCTTAAGTGTGACCTCTTCAGCTGGGGCAAGCTCTGCACCAACTAACACAGAGGCTGATGGAGCAAAAGCCTTGTCATTAGATGTCAATTACTTACTAGTACCTTGGTAAGGGTATTCATGGTACTACTTGGGCAGATGAATTATTTTTTAACTAGGAGAGAAACAGAGGGTTTTTCCCACTGGTTATGTTTGTTCTAAACCAGCAAGGTTGGGCTGCAGTGTATACCTACTCTCTCTGAGCTCGGTGTCTGAAGGGCATTTTAATGAGATCTTTTTATTTATTCATTTCTTTAGGCAGGTATGATTGTTTCCATGCTGAGAGCATTTTTCATGTGAGCCATACTATGGCACGCTGGTGTGCTCTGCCTCTGGACTAACCCATCGACATGCACCAGATAATCAGTGCCCCCAGAAGACGTGTCATAGCGCGGTTGTGCCTGGGCAGCAGGTGCTGCCCTTGTCTTGCTCTCAAACGTAGTTGACTTTAAAATGCAATACTTTGTACCATGGTAGTGTTTGGATTTGATAATTGTAATCTGCTGGACCTCTTGAACAAGTACATTTGTGCACTAGATAGCACAGATTTTGGCAGAAGCAGCAGACATGTCTATGATAGTGTGATATTCTTTCAGCTATCGTGTAAATAAACTGGAAGAACTGGCTTCATTTTTCTAAGAAAGGAGGTGTCATCAGGCACGCACACCTCACACAAACTGGAAGGGGTGTTTTAGAGAAGTGGCTAAGCCTTATCAAAGCAGCTGCAATAGTATAGGAGAGAGTATGCACTCAAGAGGTGGTAACACCAAGGCTAAGCTTTGCTGATCTGCCTGCATGTTGGTTTCCTGCAAAAACTACTAATCAGGCTTTAAGGTGAAAAAGTGTTGCCTTTTTTGTTCCCTTTTCCCCTCCCCCCCATCATTCTCAGTCTGTTTCATTCCTTTTGGATGTTCTCTGCCTAATTTTTCCCTTTTCTGTTTTTCAGACTTTACTTAAACATTGATGTTGTCAAATATTCTGTATTATTTTTTATTTTCATTCTACAAACAGCACTGACCTTTTTCTTTCCCCCTCTTTGGAATTCATAAGAAGACCCCATTTGTGCACAGAAGAAAGGTATTCAAAAAGATGGAAGGCTTAAGTTTCATTATTTTTCCTAATGTGTAATTAGTTAAGATATTGGGATACCAGTGAGAGATTTGGGTTTGGCTGTTTTTCACTCAGTATCGTAGGACTGAATGGATCGAAAACGTCTCAGTATATTTTCAGAGTTTATCATCTTTTATTTTATTGTTCTGCTTCTTAATCTGAAGGTCTAAATTGCATTTCATGTAAGTCCTACATATCCAGCTTGCAGGATCTTTGTTTGGATGCTATGAGCGTGAAATCCAATAGAACTTGTTAAATTACTGAAGTAAGATTCAAAGCTTTTATTCTACCTTCCAAGTAATTTTTCCACTCCCATTTTAAACTTGACAGTGTTCATGATTTCTGTTTGAAATTCCTTCATGCAAATAGGGTTTGTTTAGATATTTAAAGGGAAGCAAAAATTTAAGAGGGTATCAGATAATATTTGCAAGGGTAAAATTAATCCTTCTACTCATAGTCTGTTCTCAGGTTATGACCCCTGTTTCACATAAGTGTATGCTTAAGTGTAGCTGAAGTAATTCAGAAAGATTTGTAGTAATAGTTCATTTCTAAATGCTAAACTGGAGTGATCACACTTGAAATATGAGTCTAGGATTTATGTATAAATAGTCACTCAATCCAAATACTATATCAGGTTAGTTCTATTCAGTCAAAACTAACAGGACAATAAAACACTGTGAATATCAGGTGTGTTATTTTTAGCACGTTTTTAAAACCCAAATTGGATAAATAAAATAACTAATATTTAGTAAACATGGAATATTTAAAATTATTTCCATAGATCTGTTACAAATTAAGAAATTCAGTGGACACCAGTGTCTTTTAAGTGGATTTTGTGGCAACCTTTTGTATGTATTGAGGACAAACAAAGTACTACCTTTGAGCCTGTTGTGTTTTATTATTAAGTAGGTTTTTTCCCATTTTTTATTTTATATTTAAACATGGGGCATTGTATTTCACTTGAGTCATAAATTATAGTTCCAGTTTTCAGTTCTCAACTCTTCTGGAATTTAAACAGTGACTGGAAAAGCTTGAATATGCTTATAAAATAAACTAGAACAGTGTGGGGTTTTAATAAACAAGTAGGGTTAGTCACACTATGGGGTGTCAAAAGACTTTGTATTTAAGTGCTTTCAGGTTTAAAAAGGCTGAAAACTCTGTTTCGTGTGTCTTGAGAGTGCAATTCAGTGAGATGGTACTAAGTGAGGCAGGAACATATCCCTTCTGTTTCCTGAAGAGCCCAACCAAATCATTGCTGTATAATATAAATTTTTCGTTAAGCTGTTACAAATATATTCTATTTAATTCAGTTACAGCTGAATTGTAGCTGTTTCTCCCACTCTTTATTGTCTAGAATTAGACATTTATGCCTAAGGCTTTATATTTTTTTATCCTTTTTTTCATCTTTTTATTCTTAATATCTTTTCTTTATATTTTTATCTTTATATGTGGGAGATTTGAAAGCTATCATTCTAAGCATAGTTTCCTTCTATTTGAACTTCAAAACATAGGCCCATGATTTCAGGACAGTCTAGTAAGACAGAAATGTCTGGAAATAATGTGTTAATACCTGCCCCAAAAGATGGATGCATGCAAAAGTAGCATGTGTGACTGTAAGACACCTAGTGAATGCTCCTCAGCAGAGGTTCAAACACATCCCAGCACATAAGCATACAGTCACCAACATCTGAGCGTGCAGATTGTGATAGCTGTGGGCACATAGGTGACTCATGTGGACACATTTGTACACAGGCTGTTCAGGGCCACATGGCCCCACAAGCAGTTCTGCAGGATTCCCTGTGCATGGCTGATGAGTTCTCACTTTATCAAACCCAACTCAATCAAACTTGCACTGTTTGGGGTTCAACTTGGTCTTGGCCCCAATGTTAAAAGTTGCAGTGAGATTTATTCTCAGTTTTTATGTCATTGTCTGTGAATATTTCTTCCTGTGGTTACTTAGCTTTCTTTTGAACACCTCCAGGATTTGTGACTTGAGTTTATTTTCAATTTTGAAAGTTTTTTTGCAAAGGATGACTACCTGTTTTGAATTTAAAGAGCAGAAAAAAAAGTACCTCCTTTTCACCTCTTCTAAAATGCCAGGGAATCAGCCAGGCCACCTAGTCATGTAGTAGATCTCATGAAGCAATGCTTCCCATTCCTGTGGTAGTCTCAAACTGTAACAAGTTTAATTGTAATTGAGAAATCTGCAGGAGGAAAGGTGACAGTGCCTCATAGAAGAGACATGGGGCTGCCAGCAGCAGAGATACATGGAGAAAACTGAAACTGTGAGAATTACTGCACAGTCAGCTCCCAGAAGCCACCCAGAAATTCTCCTGTGTGGCAGTGTTGGATCTCTCCAGCACTGCCCAGAGAGTGACTGGAGTCACACAGGGGAGGAGCAGTGTGTGAAACACTGGTGCCACTGAAGCAGATGGGACCTTTGACATTGAATTCAGCAGAGCCCACATTTTGTTATGAGCCCTTTTATCTGAAGTCACTTTGCGCCTGTAATACAGCAAAGGAAGGTCCAGGGCCTCATTTCTGCAGCTTTTCATCTCTTGCATTCATCAATCATCCACAGGTGGCTGTCTCCACTGCTACCCCAGCTCCCTGGGACTGTTCCCTCTGCTGCCATAACTGCCTCCCTCATTTTAGGCCCTTTCTGCTTCCATGATGGACTCCACTTTGTAAAATGGATCGATTTGCTAGGAATTGACAAGGGACATTTTCATTTTTGTCCCTGAAATCTGGAGCAGTGAAGAAGGAAGTGTTGCCATGATGTGTAATGGTTTTCAGGTTGCAATCTTGAACTTCCAAGGCAGGAGTTGTAAGGTAGCATCTGTGCAAGCCAAGGTTACCTGTCACTCAGAAACCTGTGGAAGAAAATCTTCATGATTTATGTGGTTATGACTGTGAGAATTAAATGAAACTGGTTTGCTTAGGATAACATAGTATGTTCCTGGGGATGTGGGATGTCCTTATTAAAAAAAGTTTCCCTTTCTGGTTAATTAGCACTGTTGGCTTTTCCCATTCAAGTGGTCCTCTCTTGTGGTTGTCTCTTGTCTCTCTCGGATGCACAGATAATACACTAGGTTTTGATGATACCCAAGTAACATGGATACATACAAACCTACCTGACCTGTAGCTAAGTTCCAGCATACATCCTTTCTAAGGCAGGTTATTGTGTGAGAAAGAAGTTGCTCTGTGGAACTCTTTTAACCACTGCCAACAATTTCATTCTGGTTTCCAGGACTCTGCTGTTAGGTTTTGTAATCCTTTAAATACTTTTTAACTAGGGATGGGAAATCCTAACTGGACACTCTTGGCCTTAGAAAATTAAGCAAAACGTGATTGGTTTTCCCTTAAAATGATAAGGTTATGAAATAGTATTGACTTCATTGTTGTTTAAGCTTTTTTTAAACTCTATTTTAAAATTGTTTTGGCATTGTTCATGTTGAATATCTTTTTGGCATTTTTGAGTGTTTCCTAAGAAACTTGGTTTCAAAAGAGTATGGTTTCTGAAAATGTTTTTGAAATGGAAAATTAGCTAACATTGATGTAAAAGCATGCAGCTTTCATGTGTAGTAAGGAAGGGATCACCTCCTTAAAGGTACTAATAACTAGATTGTTCAAAAGTGATCAGTCTTGAGCTGTAAATAAAGAAAAAAGTATATTTGGTATTGGCTAAAAATGTGGTTTAGTTTGGCAAACCATGGCATTAATATGATGTTTCTTGTATTTGGAGTTCAGAACAGTGATGTATTGTTTACAGATATCTATAACTGTTTTTAATGTGTGTTTCGTAGGAGCAACAGCTGCTGCTCGAAAGGAGGTTATAAGGAACAAGATAAGAGCAATAGGAAAAATGGCTAGAGTTTTCTCAGTGTTAAGGTAAGGTTTTGTGCTTTCAGGTTGTTGGTTTTTTTTTTTTATTTTAAAGGATATCTTTGAATGGGTAGAGCGCACTGCTGTTCATCAAACAGCAAATTTCGTATTTTAGTGTACCACCCAACTGAGTGTTCCTGGAATCATTTTATGATTGTTTTATTTATACAATACTGCTATTCATTATGGCTCTGAAGAATCTTCTTCCTCAAGGCTTTTGCTGAACAAAGACAAACAAAAGACATCAGGAAAGAACATTGCAATTAGCCTTTGATTTTTTAAAAGCTTTTGCTCACCAGGTGTACTAATGAACTCCCAGCCACTGCAAGACAAGAGTTAAATGTGAAGAAAGGGTGTGTTCCACATTATGTCTAATTAAAAAGGAAGCCAAGTATCCCACTTTGTCCGCCACAGTTGCTGCTAAAGCCATGAGTAAAGATGAAAGCATTAGGGTCATTTAACTAAAAATCCAGGAAATCGTTGTGCAGACAGCAGTAACTCATTACCTTGGGCTGCACTCCTCCAAGCACATGAACATGAGTAACTAATTGCTACCCAATGTTTAGAACTCTCCATTTGATGTCTCTGAACAGAAGAGAAAACATGCTGTGCTGTGCTGAAGTCTAAATATAGAAAATACAGTTCTACCTCCCTTTCATCAGAGATTTTTTTTTTTGTCAGGAAATTTTGTATGTTGCTCTGCTCTAGTCAGTTTATGATCATTATGGTTAGTGCAAAAGCAAGGGATTTTTTTAAAACATATTGCCATGATTGTATGATTGATATAAAAAGAGGAAATAAAAATAGTTACTTGAAGAATACACTCTTAATTTCAGATTAAACTCTCAAATTTGCTTGATTTGAGACTTCTCTGCAGCATGCAAGCAGTGGGCAGATTGTCAGTGGAGCTTTGCATGGACACAACAGCTTGCCCACACACTGCAGATTGCAGCAGAATAGCTTTAAATAGCACACTGAGATGGAGAACTTTGTACCTGGAGTTCCCAAAGTGTTATATGTGAATTACTAGTGATGCACAAGCCACCTCAAAATGGTACCCATAAAAAAAACCTCAACAGTTAGCATCATGGTTTTTCCCTAAACAAGATGGGGGAGCAATCAAATGTTTCCACCTGCTCCTCTGTACCAAGTCTGGCAGAGAGCCTGGAGCTAACATTGCCACCACCTTCATAAAACAGCGTGATTGTTTTTCTCTGATGATAGTTGAGCAAACAAAGTTTGGGAAATGTGATAACCTTGAACTGCTGCTTTCAGATGCACTATATTTTGTTGTGGAGCACCTTTTGAAATAGACAATTAATTCAACAGAAATGTGGACTTCAGTATGCAGAAGGGCCTGAAATAGGGTACTCAGATGATATATTTGAGTTTTGATGCTTTGCAGATGGTTGACATCACCTGTATGTCAAAGACTTTTTCAAAGGGAACTGTAGGGCAGAAGCTTTTCAGTGGCTTCAGAGATGGAAGAACAGTACAGATTAATTCTGCCATGTGCTCTGTCTAAAGTGATATGTATAAGCCTCATGACTTTGGGTTTTAACACTGTTTGAAACTTTGAGCCCTCTTAAATTGTCTCATGAAAATCAACATTTTAAGGCACTGAGGGAAATCAGTCTCGACCTTTCCCTGAAATCTGTCACATTAATCTCAGAGTTGTTCATGAGACAGTTTTTTACCCCTGCCACATGCATCCCAACATCTCCACAAGACCCGCATGGCCTGTATTGGGTAGAGGAGTAGCCAGTGGTTCACTCACCGAAGCTGCTGAACCTTTTACAGTTCTTGGTTACTGATGGACCTTAAAACTTTGCAGGAAGGATCAGGGATGAAAAGTGTATTTGTTCTCACTTAGCTTGAATGAGCAAGTGCACCACACCCTTACTGTGGTCAGAGGCATAGTTAGCAAATAAACAGGTACCTCCAGTGGGCAGTTTTGCTGACCGCTTTTCCAGGGGGATGAGTGACGTTTCATCCCAGCCACCGTTGTCCTCCTGGGAGTACCTTTTCTCTTTTGCTGGGAAAGGCTGCTTCTTCTCAGCTAGGTACCAAGCTTCTAGACAACAAAGGTAAAACAAGGTTAATATTGCAAATGCTCTTCCTATAGAATATCCTGGTTTCTTTTTTCTATCTTGCCGGCACAATCCACATTTAACACAGAAGTGTCTGATAACTGTGTATAATTCTGCAAAGACTGCAATGACACCATCCTCTAAAACAACCTATTTCAGAAACCTTTGAAATTCCTGTTTGAATCGTTGCTGGCTTGTGAAATTTATTTCACTCATTCTTGAAAAGCGTTTCTGACTGATCAGCACCTGATGTGACCACCTTCAAAGGACTTGGCTGAACATCTCTTGTCTGAGCCTGAGTGGCCACCTTCCTCAAAGATGTAACCTGAATGTAAAACTGAGATCATTTCAGCAACTTCAGTCTCAAAATTAGATATGAAAATAGTGTTGTATTGAGTTTCAAAGGTTATAAATAAGCTTTGCCAGGAGTAGCTATCATAGAAAGGTTTGCTTAAGCTCAGTAGAAGACCTCATGATTCCCTATCATTGCCTCTCTGCAATTTTGTTTCTCAAGTCTGACTAAGGATATATTTAGACAGGAGGGAAGTAAATAAATTATTTAATCAGTTTACTTTCCTTTTTTAAAAGCAGAATTAAAGGACATCAAATAGAAAATAAAGAACACTGAAGGCTAGAAATCTCAAAATTTGTGGTGCAGATCATTTCTTAGGAATATGCAGCTTAAGGAGAAAAAACAGTCAATAAGTTTATCATATGAAGGTGAAGCTGAAAGTGTCATTGTGGTTTAATTAAAAAAAAGATGAAACAGACTGAATTGAAAAGGCAGATTATACATTTGCTTGCAGAGGCAATAATCAAGACAACACAAAAACTCTGCTGTGTAACTCTTGATAATGAAAATGCTGTGTTAATTTGGCTGTTGCATTGATTCTAATTGCTTAGGAAACTTGCAGGGAAAACAGTTTGATTTTGACTGTTACACAAAGAGAAGTCTGTACAAGGAGAATCATTTTCGAACTAAAAATAGAGCTTGAAGAGTATATGTAGTAGGTAAACAAGAGTTATTTCAAATATGTAATTCAGGGTTCATAGGTCTAAAGAAAATTGTTAGTAGTAGAATTGCTGAGAGATGGTTTTGATAGATGAAACCACGTTATCCTCAAGTGAACGCAGAACTAAATTCTTTGTGTTTGCTTCCTCCAGCTTAATGTCATTATATATTTCAAAGTAAAGCACTTCAAAATAGGTTTCACTTAAAGAATTGAGGTCAATTTTGCTGCTGAGAAAGTATGTAATCACAGACAGCATAACAGTGCTCATAGAAAGCTGTGTTTAATGGCTTCTCTGGATAGAGCTGTTGTATTCTTCCTGACATATTAAAAACTATATGTATTTGAAGACTGGAAAAACATATTTAGGTTTCCTAAATCATTTTTCTTGAATCCAGTATTATTTTTAGCATGCCAAACTATAAGGAACAGTGCTAGTAAGGGTGGAAGTGCTTATTAATTTTAATGAGCTTTTAGCTTCTTTTTTTTTAAGTGGCTGATGGTCATTAATAAATAATGCACCTGACTGCTAGTGTAGACAAAATCAAAACAACAATTTAAGTTGATTTTGGACCACAGGATGTAAGCACTTAAATGTATTATTGGCAATAACTGTTCCTCTGGTCTGCCTGCTATCAAGTTTGTGGGTTTATGTATGTATATATATACAAGTGTATGGCATATATTGTTTCATAGGTCATAGTGTTAATTATAGTGGGAGTCTGTGTATGGTGTAGAACCATGTACACAGCAGTGAGGGAAACTGCACTGGTGCTGGTGTTATCATGGAATTCTGTCTGTCCTGGTAAGGAGACTGGAGATAACCAAATCATTGCAGGGCAGGTGTAGCTTAAGGTGTTTAAAACATGTTCCATGTGTTTGTTTTATTTTTAAAAAAAAAAGGCTATTATTTACTTTTTTTTTTTTTCCCTTCTGCAGAGAAGAGAGTGAAAGTGTGCTGACACTGAAAGGTTTGACTCCGACAGGAATGCTGCCCAGTGGTGTGCTCTCTGGAGGAAAGCAAACACTGCAAAGCGGTGAGCACATTTGCCTGCGTGTGTCATTATGTGTATAAAAAACAACTGGTTTTCAATCACAGAACCCAAGAAAAGTAACCACAGTCTTCTCAGAAAAAAAATAAAGGACAGAATCGAGCAGGCAGTTTGTTGTATCAGAGCATTTATGAGCAGTTCATGTAAGGCCACTTCTCAAGACCTATTATATACCACTGATTTTCAGAAAGAGGGGGTGGGGAAAGTCCCTCAAAATCAACCGTAGATCAGCGTTGCATATGACGTGCACACAACATTTTGATTTTTTTTTTTAAGGGCAGCTGTTGATATGCTTAGAGTACTGAATGTTCAGCTTAGATAATGACACTCTTATCTCATTTGTTCTTCCTTCTAGAGAATCACCAATGGAAAATAGCTCTAGTATTAGATTTTCTCTCTTAGCAATTCTCAGTGACAGCATGAGAACAGTTTCTCTCTGATTTAAGCCCAAGTGAAGGGAGGCTCTTACAAGCACTGTTTGCCTTGTGCACAAACACAATACAGATTGTCAGTTCCGTTTCGTACCAAGTGCTTCATGTTACAGGAAATCTGTAAGCCCTACAGTAGGCCTGCAGCTGATGAAATATTTCTTTTGGAATAAGCTGCAAAGTATTTAATTTACTACTGTAAGCTCTCCTTTTCTTCTGTGTATTGCTGTAGAGTATATTGCAGGCACACAAGAATGTTTCTCACTTACTGAGGTTCTGTTGACAGATTTAAGAAATAGAAACGTTTTATAATCTTAATGCAGTCACAGCCTCCTGTTATCCTGTTTCCTTCCTGGAGCATTCTTTCTATTTTTCCCTTTACTGTCTCTTTGACCTAGAAGATTCAGGTATACGGTGGTAAACCTTCTTTTCCCTTTTTTTCCCTTCCCTTTTTTCTTTTTGATGACTTGTGTTACCAACATAGTAACGTTCTGCTTTGAAAATGCTGCAATATGATACCACGGGATGCCTTACTTAATGAGATTGCAGTCTTCACCTAGGTTTTTCTCTGTATAGTTGCTTCAAATTTGTCAGAAAATTTGGTCCAAGGAAACTGCTATTGTTACTCTGGCAAAATATTAGGAATTGAAATGAATTTGAAAAAAATTGCCTGAAGTTCTTGTTAAAAATAGCTAAAAGGAAAATCTTCTCATACTGCAGTATTCTGGCTTAGTAAAACATTACTATACACAAGCTTCTACGTTAGTTAACATGTAGCACCCCCTTCACCAAATAATCTAACACTCACATAGTTTCTGTTAAGCACACATTCATATTACCATATGTATTAACAGAAAATATGAGTATTATGTTGCGTTGTGGAGTACACATTTTAGTCGTAATTTTTTTTCTAATGTGTCAGTGCTGGTTTGGATCCAGTTATTAATTTTAATTTCTCATCCCATTTATTATGTTTCCTTTTCTTTTTAGTTTGTACTGGTTTTGTTCTGTGATTTTTGCCATCTCTCTTGCTCTGTATCTTGAGCAGCATAGGCTTACCTTGGTGCATCTGGGTTAGCTTCTCTCATTTCCCCATGCAGCAAGATATACATATTTTAGTATTAAATACATACTAGTATTTATTATAGCGTATACATATCTTAGTATTGAGCTCAATCCATATTTAACATTCCTAACTATAAAAAAAAAAAGTTTTTACATAGAGGAAAATAAGACAAAAAAAAAAGAGAAATTCCTAAAACCTTGGTTTCTTGAGATACTCTCTAAATAAGAATTGCTCTTGAAAATCAGAATTTCTTAAATGTTTGAGCTGTACCATTGCAATGTTAGATTGCATTTGCTGATTTCCATCAGCTTCTAAATAGATGGCTAGAAACAAATTCCTGCCCAAGCTGATGGGTAGAACTAAATTATGTCTATAAGAACAATGAATGTTTTTGAAATAGTGGTAATATGGTATTAATAATACTGCAGCAACCTCCCAATTACAAACTTTCTCTCTGACCATGCTTTGCAGTTCTGAAGGATCAACAGCTTTCAATCTTGTATCTATGTCCACTGATTTTAATAAAATATGAGAAGAATGCTGTTTTCAGAGTCTGAGTTGACAGAAAGGATGCTTACAGATGAAGCAGACTGTGTGAGATTTGCAAGCAAAGGCAAAGCTGTCATAGCAAACTCTGTCCCATTCTGTAGGGAGGTTCTTTTAGTCAGGAGAAAGAGGGGAGAGAAAAAAAAAGGTAATTCTGAGAAGTTGTATATGTGGCTCTTTTGCCTTGTACTAGCAGTTAATACTTTTCATGCTTACATTGTAAGTGGTACAAATTTTGTGTGATGGCTTTATGCCACTTTTCATTTTCCTTTGACAGGGCAAATCAAATTGCTCTTATTCAAAGCTGGGAAAATTAGACAATGACCTTTTCAGGTCAGATGTGCAATATGGAAGACATTTTCATTTTGTAGTTCCTTTGATTCAAAAGAAAACTACTCAAATGTGTCTTTAAAAACTTGTAGTTTGTGAAACTTCTGCTTCAGAACAAACTATAGCTGAATTCAATCTGCAAATTATTGTTTTTGTGTAAGCCTTTCTCTGTGTGTCTGTTTTGCCAAAATCCAGCACTTGCAGTAACATTAGTGTTGTAGCTCCTTTGCTGTTCACTGACTTGTTCTTAGAGTTAAAATCCTCTGCTCATTTTTCTCATTCGTTTTGCTACCCCTTTCTTCTCTTCAGCTACTGTTGAGGCTATTGAGGCTGATGAAGGTAAATTGGCCAGTCCCCTTTCTGTTGGTGCCACAACAGATAAGGGCTCTGCTGGGTGTATTCATTTTGCTGTAGCTTGTACAGATTGTGTGGGTGTTGGGCTAACAATTGTGGCTCGGTATTAACCAAAATGTAATTGCTTTAAAGGGGAAAATGTTCTGGTTTGGTTTTGGTTTTTTTTTTTTCCCGTCGTTGCTGTTGTGGTTTTTTCTTTCTGAAAGTTACAGTCATGTTGGAATTGCTGTATGTTGAACTAAGCACTGAGTAATGCCACAGGAGGAGATCAGGGGACTTGGATTTCATGGGACACAACTTGGCAGCAGCTTGTAAATGCTCTCTGACACATAGCTCAAAAGCTGTGCACTGGAGGCTGGATCTTGTCTCCATCTCAAACCATCCTCAGCAATCTCTGGTCAAAGAAAACATATAGCTTTTTATAAATACTCTCTCTTTTTGTTGTTCTCCCCACCCTCCCACCCCCTTTTTTTTCTTCTTTTGCTTCAATGTGTTTCCTTTATTTTAGGTCACTAGTAAAAAATTTTTATTGGTCTTTTGTTACAGTTCAGCGTGTTTATGTTTCTCTTTAAGAGTAAAGCAACATGAGACATTTGTCTGCAAGATGTGGTCTTCCTCTGGTAGTGGCAGTTTACACACTGGATATTTACATTAGAGCAACCATGAACACCAGCACCATTTTAGCTCTTAATATGAATTGACTGGCTGCCTCAGATTTCTGAATGTTTAGTGTTGAAAGCTATGGTGCTTTATTGACAGACCTCTACTTTGAACCCTTAAGCAATTTTTAACACTACAGTTAAAACCTAAGTAATCACGCAGTGCAATGTAGGTGCACAATATTCATTTAGCTTTATAAAGTTTTGGAAGAAGAATTTTCAGAATTCCCCTTTAAAACAAAATTCTCCAGTTGTATTTTGTTCTTGCCCCTCTCTAAATTTTCTGTGGGTATTTTTTCTTAGTTAATTTTAAAAGAAAATCTGATGACTGCTGTCCGTTGATAAGATGTGCCCTTTTGGCCAGTTGAATTTGTTTTTGATTTTTGTAAAGCAGTGAATAAAATTACAGAACAAACAAGTAAGAGAAAATACAACTGCTTTCTAAATAGCAGTGAGTAAGCTGCTATTTATGTTGGAATTATCTATTCCTATCAGCAATCTCTAATCTGCAGTGTGCATTCTTGTTGACAGTTTGGCTGTTTTCTGTGATTTTCTGTGACTATGTGTTGTGTTTTAGTATACTCTTAATGTAAATTGCTAATACCTGTTGTCTGACCAGCAACTACAGCAGAGCACCTTCCTCAGTACTGCAGATGGTAACGTCTGCTTGAAGTATTGAGCATGGCCCCATTCCAGCAATATGCACCCTGCAAGTTAATTCTTGATTTGCCATCCTTGCTAGTTAGACACTGCATCTGTAGTCGTACTGACTGGTCTACATAGACAAAGCTAATGATGGAGAAGATATTTCACCCTTTACCAATTGTCCCTCTGCAGTTGATTCAGGGCTTGATAACACTGACTGAGCTGTGCTACTGGCAAACTCCAGGCCACAGCAAATGTTTCAGCTTCAACACAGCCATCCATTAAACTATGGCTTTAAGGGATTGGCCTGGGTGCTCGTTAGACATATCCATTGTGGTAGAAGATAAAGTGAAAAGGAAAACAAACAAAAAAAAAAAACAACCTTGAAACAACCTCACTGTAGGGCCTGTTCTGTTTTCACTGCTCCATCTCTGCTCTCTCGACTAATCACCATTATGTTGTTGTTTTTCTGAGTTGAACTATAATCCATGTTAAAATTCATGCACTTCACAAAGTTCCAATAGAGCGTTTGTGAAACTGGCTAAGGAGCTAAATCCCAAGGCAAACGGGATCTATCCATTTTCTCCGGAGTGGTTGGCAAAAATATCAGCATGAAAATGCTTTTCTCGCTCCCTCCAAAATGCAAGGAGTGGTAGATTGGTACCAGGGATGTTCTGGGGTTTGGGGTTTTTTCACTTGTTGAAAGAGAAGATAATGGGAGGGAAGAAATACTGAATTTGATCTCTGAAACTCCTTTGCCATTTTATCCCCAGGGAGTTTGCAGTCTCCTGGTACTAACACACCATTTCTGCTCTATGGCATGTTAAGATAGAGGCATAGCAAGAGTGCCAGTTCTGGAAGTGCAGTGCATTGATTTCATGCAGAAAAGAGAAAAAACACACAGAAGGCCGTGACAAATTATCTACGGAGCTGTCACCTGATATTTGCCTGCAGTGCTTTTTCTCTTTTGCTTTAAATCTATAGATATTCAACTCTTCAATTAAAGAGAGAAAAAGTAAAGCAAAATAAAATAAAAATCATACTCCTAAATACATTTCCTAGCTTTTGGCTGCTTTCTGAGGTTGGTGTGGCCTCACCAATCTTGCTGCTGAAGGGCAGGTCAAAAGTCCTCAGGTTCACTTGGAACTGTGGTCCTTTGCCAGTGCATTTCCAAAGTCAAATTGTACAAATGTGACAAAATTTCAGTATCCCTGGTCCATGTTGCACAGTGTCACTGCTGTTTCACTCAAGCTGCTTTCTAGAAGTCCAGGGACATGTTGGGGAGGGTAACTGCCCTGAGCAATCAACAAGCAGCTTGCCTGTGTTGGGAACAGTATGGCAGTTTTGTAGAGTCACCCCAGATCTCCCATAGCTTTAATGTATATCCTGCAAACTGGCCTCACCATGCCATCACTATCTGTAACCGGCCATCACTTTTTGCCCTGGTCTTTGCAAGTCAAATGGGAGTTTTTCCTGGTTAAGTGTATTATGGTGAGGCACGATGTCTTTAAGACTGGAAGCGATGACAGCAAATGCTAACTCGCTGGCTCACAGCCGTGCCCTAAGCATGGCTTCTAATTGCAAAGTGCAGTTTTATGTCAGTTTCTTAGCATTTTAAGCTGAATCCCAGCAGACAACTAAACTTTTGATGTTGATCTTGTTGAAAAAATCGGTTGTGTTTCAAGAGACAGTGGTGGTTAACCTCCAGCTCTTTCTGAGTACGGTAAGGAGTCGGTCGTGTTGTCAGATCTTCTCATTGCTGCCTTCACAATGAAGGACTTTCTCACTCATTGCTGCGTTGGGGGAAAACCCGCCAAGAGTTTTATGTTGCTAATTTACTTTTTAATAATCCTTTATTTAGCTATCAAAGGATTTTCACCCCAGCATAAGATCACTAGCTTCGAAGAGGCCAAAGGCTTAGATCGAATTAATGAGCGAATGCCTCCGCGCAGAGACGTGCCATCCGATGCCAACCTTAACTCCATCAACAAGGCAATCTCCACAGAGACTAATGGCACGGACAGCAACGGCAGTAATAGCAGCAATATTCAGTGACCACTGTCCGGGAGGGGGGTTGAGCTGCAGGGCGCGATGGGGTTGCTGCACATCAGCAGTGGGATGTTCTTGCCTCTGATAACGGCTTACTTGCTCTGGGGGCCAGGTGTTGGATTCAGTTTACAAAAAATCATCTACGAAGAGATCGACAACTTTAATTTGGTGGGAGGGAGGGTGGGGGAGAGACACCTCCTTTGGATATGCCTTTAAAATGCTTGTAGAAAAATGAAAACTCATGCTGGTATATATTGCAAAGTTAGGGGAATGAACATGTTTTCCTACTGCATTGGGAACGTCTAGATAGGTTACTGAAAGGCCTTTTATTATGTTACTGAACATGAAAACTTTGTTTAATTTCTTACTAACTATTGTACGTTTACAGTTGCAGCACTAAACATCGACAACATCAAAACATTTTTAACAAAATGTACAAACTAAATAAGGACTATTTATTGATAAAGTTTTGCTACTCTTGTCAGACAATGGCTATGAAATAAATTAGGCAGTCTTTAAAAATATAGAGGGGAAAAAAAAGAAAAAAAAAAAGGAATGTTGGAAATTTGTTTAAAATGCCAAAAAAAAGAGAGAGAGAGAGAGAGAGAAAGAAAGAGAGAGTGAGAGAGAGACAGTTTAATTTTGTACAGATTATGCTTACCTCAGGTTTCTTTAGTGTGCTTCAATGCCCTTCTTTAAATATAACACTTATCTTACTAATTTGGCAGCAATTATCCTTTTCTTTATTTTAAAAAAAAAAACTGGAATAATGATAACATTTATCTTTTTTTTTTTTTTGCTGTTTATATTTAGGGGGGTTTGGTTTGGGGGTTTTCTGGGTTTTTTTGGTAAATCAAGTCTTGGTTGTGGCTTGCTGAATTTAAATATTTATGAGTGGTGCATTTTTAAGTATAGTGAACAAGACACCATATTAAGTGCAGTGAAAAGCATCTATATTCTGTAAAAATCTGCCTATGCATGTTTTTTAAGAAAAAATGGCTGTATAGGCCTGTATGGGACTGTAATGCGCTTAGTGGTCTGACTTATACTGGAAATGTATGTATACGGGCGTACTTTATATTCTCTAAAAAAATGCTTAATGCCTTTGAAATTTTGTAATCAAAAAAAAGCTTTGAAAAATCTAAGGGGGAGAGTATTCTTAAAGTTTTTAACATAAGCTTGTCAGTGCACATATAGATGGGTAGCATGTTTAGCAAACCTTGTGAAATTTAAATAAGTTTGTAGTTACATGTGGAATTCTAAATGCATGATAACTGTTAATGTCATAATGGTTTAGTCATTTTGTTCTGTTCTGTCATGTGCCACAAAATGTGTAATTTTTTCACTTTTTTCCCTTTGTATATCAGTTACGGGTTTCAACTGGTTCATTCTAAAAAAAGAAAAAGAAACAAAACAAGACAGTCCATTGATATTTTTTAACAATTGTATAAGTGCCCAAGTAATTCACTACAGCCTACAGCCTTGCCTTTGTAATTTGACTTCGAAATGTTGGCAATCAAAGCATGCACTTGTAACAATGAAAGAAGCATTTTATATTACTACTCAATAAAAATGTGCATGAACTTAAGCTCTCTTCCCTTTCTTCCTGGTTCAGTCACAGAAGTGCATGCAGACATGTGTGTGTGGGTGTGTGCTTGTTGCTCTCTTTTGCTTTGGACAGGAGAAGACCATCAGTATAAGAGAAGAATGACTCCTTTCATGATTCAAGGTCAGTTCTTTATTAAGAAAAAAAATCAGTACCCAACTGTCTTAGGCTACTGAACATGTGCACACTTCCCACAGGTTCTGGTTAGAAAGCTGAGTTCTCCCTAAAAAAAACAAGTAAGATGTACCCCACAACTAGAGTGCAGAAGAAAATGTGCCCTCTGTGTGCTTTCCCCCTCATCTGGAGTGTTTGAAAAGGTCAGTGAGTATAATATACAGTGTTCCTTTGAGGAAAAAAAAAGTTCAGCTATTTCAGATTTCAAGTGCTTTAGTAAGAGGTGGATTGTCAAAGCTCTGCCCGGTTTTAATTTTCTCCCAAATCATCCTTCCACAATCCATCATCCTGCAAAGAGCTGCTGGACGATGCCAAATGGTGCAATGTTGTATACTGCTTTAGTCCTTCTTTTATTAAACATTGACTAGGTGCCTCCTTTCTTCTGTGTTTTTCCTGCTTTAGCTCTTAGTTTTGGCAAAATACAACAGACAGCAAAAATAAAAGAGAATTCATAGTACACAGGACTAGGAAGCTGAATCAATTTCATAGTTAATTTTTTATTTCAAATTGTACAAAAATCGAGCACAGGGGAGAAACGCTTAGACTCTAACTATTCGTCTGGGCAGTGAAGCTCTTTATCTGGTTAATGAGCAGGGTCTCTGGAAAAAGTAAAGCAACGGTGAAGGTTTGAGCGACCACGCTACTTGGTGGTTCCGTCCTGCGTACGTGCTAGCTGAACAACTGTGTAGGTTACCTCAGGTGAGTTTTTCTGTAGAGACATCTGAGCTGGCACGCAGCAGGCACTTTGTGCAACACAGAGCAGTGCTGCTGGGCAGCTCAACGTCTGCTGTCTGGTTTCATTTAAGTTGGGCCCTGGCAGTTGCCCAAACCAATTTAGCAGCAAGAGAGGAGTTTTTCTTCTCAGCAGTGACAGTGTGGCATAGACCGCTCAATTGGTTAGACTTAACCTAAAAGATCCATGCTGCAAATCAGTGGTAGGTTTACAGATGCCTGCTGGAATTGCTGAAGAGCTTACGGGTGAGCAAGTTAGCCCAGGCCGAGTAATGCATTAGGAAGTGCACAAACTCTGGTCAGTAAGGAGATTTTTGAATTTTTTATATCCTAGAAGAATTTAAAATGTCCTGAGCGTGCGAAATAGCAGTGTCCTCTGTGTGCAGGTAAGATGGCCTGGCTCTTCCAGAGCAAGGCTGCCCTCCTACCATGGGGCAGGCGCTGGGCTGGCTCTGAGAGGTAGTCTAGGCTATATTCAAATGTTCCTAAAAGAACAAGAAAAAATATCCAAAGGTTATCGCTTTCCAGGGCATCCCATCTTTTCCAGCTGTCCTTTCTTTTTTGCTGCTGCAGAAGGAGCTGTAGATAAATTTGAAGAAAAACCATGGTGCCACTGAAGGCTGAATTTCAGATTTTGTGGCCTCTCTCAGTGACATGCCATGCACTGGAATATGTCTCCCAGTACAGGTTTCTTTTTTCTTAACAAATATTCTGCTTTAATGCCAAAAATATAATTGGTGCCTACATTAGGTTTTACTGTATTTTTAATTGCTTTATTACAGCTGTGTGAGATAATATATTGTATGTGTGTGTTATATTTTCTGCACTATCATAACTTTCTTTTTCAACAACTATTAAACAGGAAGTGTATTAGCTCTCAGCATACATTTTCAGAAGACAAAATTTAAATTTTGTCCAGTTTTCCCCAAAACTGCAGTAAGTTTAACCCTGTTTAAGCATGTGCCAGAACTGCCAGATGCTGTTTGTTAGCACAGACCCGATCTCAGTCCTTTCTCACTTCAGCTTTGTATTTTAGTGAAACAGTGGAGTTTACAGTGTAAAAAAAATGAAAATTTAAGGACACTTTCCAGGTTCAAGCTGATTATACATTTTAGTCCTTAGAAATACGTTTCCCTTCTTTTTTCGAGATACTGTTGCTCAGATTAGTCAGATCCATGAATCTTCCCACTTCTTTCACAGAGAGAGGGATGTGAGAATCAGCTATTTCAAATGTTAAAAAACCACAAGCACAAAAGGCAACCATTTGGAAAACAGTTTGCAGATCACTTTCTTAGTTGCTCTTGGGAGGGGGATTGATTCTGCTAAGTACAGCCAATTTTGGCATGCAAAAGGATGAAATTTCTGGTTCTTCAATGATTTAGAAAAAATATGTCCAAGTTCATGTGTGTTCATATGTATGTGTTCATATGCATGTGCAAACACAGAGGACTTGCAGCCATCTGCAAAAAAAAAGACGAACTGATGGAGTTAGAGGTAGGGGATTTTTTTTGTCTTGCTGAGCAGAGTGTGGTATCAAGCCTGTAAAACATTACAAAATGTATGTTTCATGAGATTTTTTGTTTCTTCAATAATCTGAGGGCAGTTCCAGTTTTATATGCAACACCACGTTTCATCAAGCTGACAGAGAGCTCTGTGCTCCGGGCAGTGTTCTGCTGTGGCGTGCGACTGCAAAGGGAAGGGCAGACTTGGCTCTGCCATCCCTCTCAAAAGCTTGTTTGAGGTAAAGTAACTTGGCAAAGAACACGCCAAGGGACTGGTTATGCTGCCAGTGGGAAGTCTGTGGGCATGGTGGCACACATGACAGTGTCTGCTTCTTTGTGGAGTCCACTAGTGGCCATCACTAGTTGCTCTGGGGTTCGCCAAGGCCACTCTCCCTTTTGGGCAGAGCCTTGCATGGTCGTTTGCTGGAGGTTTGGGTTTGGTCCTCCAGCTAGGTGATTCTTATGGCAGCAAGACTCAAGGAGAAGGTGGTTGTTCCATACTTCAGCTACTACATGCCTGAGGCAGTCAGTGTTAGACAACCACAGTGCGATTGAGCAAGCCCATTTCTCTCAACATCTGAGTATTTCATAATCTCTTTTGATTTAAGTGAGGAGTTGAACACTGTGACTTGGACTAATTTCATGGTGTTTCAAGCTAGAGGAGCCTGTCATGTTGCAGAATTGAGACTCACCAAGACCAGCATGCAGTGCTGAGATGAGCTTCTCCAACCCAACTGCTCACACAGGGTCAGCTGGAGCAGGCTGCTCGTGCCTGCGTCTAGTCAGGTTTTGAGTGTTTGCAAGGATGAAGACCACAACCTCTCTGGGCAACCTATGCTGGTGTTTGGCAGCTTGTACAGTAAAATGATTTTTTTAAAAAAAACTTTTTTACATTTAAAAATTTCCTGTATTTGTTTCCGTCCACTGCCTCTTCATCTGTCACCAGGCCTTATTCAGAAGAACTTGGCTTCATCTTTTTTTCTCACCCCTTCATGTACTTATACACCTTTTCTCCAGGCTGAGCAGTGCTGGCTCTCACCATCTCTCCTCACAGGTCAGATGTTCCAGTCCCTTAATCACCTTCATGGTCCTTTACTGAACTTAGTCCAGTTGAGTCTGTATCTGTGTTGCTGGGGAGCCCAGACCTGGACATGATACCTCAGGTGTGTCTCGCCAGTGGTGAGCAGAGGGGAGGAAAGTTAAATTACCCATCCTATTTTCCTGTATATACCATTAAATTTCTACAACGTGTAATGATGCCAATAATTGAAGACAAGTGAAGACATTTCTGACCGTGTAAGTTGAAGAGATGGGAGCCATACCTCAGAAAACAGAAGCAGCAGAGGTACATTGCAGTCAGAGATGAGATGTACCACGATACAGCTCCAAGAAGGTAAGAAAATTAATTTCTCACCAGTCTGAGAGGACTGGAATAATAATATTGATTGACAAATTCGGTAATAAATTTGATGAAGAAATTGCCCAGATAGCTACCTATTGCAAGAGGGAGGACCCTCTTCATACTCTGTCCTGTATTGTGTCCCTCCTACTGTTGATCCTTGGTGCTTCAGAAGATGGCAAAGAAGTCATCAAAAAAAAATCTGGCTAATCTTATACTGAGGGAAATAGTCCCTTCCTGCATTCAGCAGGCAAGTGGCTGAGGCCCTGAAGCCTGTGATTTGTCTACAGTCATTATTGTAGTGCAGATCTGCACACATTATCCGGACATCACATAAATGAGAGATCTTGTGCCTCCCTGGGGAGGGAGAAGTAACCTTCTGAGGAAGTTGCCTGAGGAGAAGGTAATTTGTTTATCTGTCACTTGGTGGTTTATTGGTTTCAGTACATATTTTATAAGCTTTGCACTTTGACTGCATTTTTCTACAACAAGAAGAAAGTGCACTCTGAAGGGAATATGAGACTCACACTGCAGCTGGGTTTAAACAAGGCTGCAGAGACGATATTTAGGCAAAAGGCTAAGGAAACCCTGCAGGCACAGACCAGGGCACCAGAGACAGAAAAGGAGTGAGGAGCAGGGCTGGCAGGAGAACTCAAGGTATTTATTTCATTCCTTTCTCAAAGCAGACAGGAGAAGAGGTAGATGTGGCTGTGCTGGAGGAGACTCGAGCCCTTAGCTGCAAGACTGAGATGACAAGATACCGAAGCTGTACAACGTAGGCAATGACAGAAATTATTCAGGCTGGTAAAACTCACCTGAGACTAGGTGTGCACTTAAAAATGATGGTGGAGTTCAGGCTCTGACCTGAATGCAGTCATGCATAAAAGAAGAGTAGGGAATGGCATGGGAAATAAAGTTATGGAGGGCAGACCTGTGATAAGGAGCAGGCTCGAGGCTCACAGCCTTAACTGAGGAAAAAAAAGCACAGATGGCAGGATTGAATGCTGTATTGAAGAGTTGAATCAGTTCAGCTTAAATGCAAGGATGCTGGTAACTAAGGTGCTTGGACCTGAGCAGGGGAGTTGCCACAAAGGAAGCTGGGATCACCGGCCAAAGCCTGCACTCTTTACAGGATAAAAGGGCAGAAACTGTGAGGGTTCAGCTAAACTTAAGGC